TGGACTTTTTTTTTTTTGCGGTACGCGGGCCTCTCACTGTTGTGGCCTCTCCTGTTGCGGAGCACAGGCTCCGGACGTGCAGGCTCAGCGGCCATGGCTCACAGGCCCAGCTGCTCCGCGGCATGTGGGATCTTCCCGGACTGGGGCACGAACCCGCGTCCCCTGCATCGACAGGCGGACTCTCAACCACTGCGCCACCAGGGGAGCCCGGTCAACTGATTTTTGACAAAGGAGCAAAGGCAATTCAATGGAGGAAGGATAGTCTTTTCAACAAATGGTGCTGGAACCATCCATATGCAAAGAACATGAAACTATATAATTTCTAGAATACAACAGGAGCAAACCTAGATGACCTTGGGCTTGGTAATGAGTTTTTAGGTATGACACCAAAAGCATGATCCATGGGGAAAAAATTGGTAAATTGAATTTTACTAAAATTAAAAACTTCTGCTTAGTGAAAGACACTGTGAGAAGAATAAAGAGACAAGCCACAAAATGGGAGAAAATATTTGCAAAACACATATCCGATAAAGAACTTGTATCTAAAATATACAAAGAACTCTTAGAACTCAACAATAAGAATGACTAATCCAATAAAAAAAATGGAGAAAGATCTGAACAGTAGATATACACATGACAAATAACATATGAAAAGATGCTCAGACCAGATGTCACTAGGGGATGTAAAACTAAAATGACAATGAAATATCACTATATACCTGTTAGAACGGCCAAAATCAAAAACACTGAAAATACCAAAAGCTGGTGAGGATGAGGAACAACAAGAAACACATCCATTGCTGGTGGAAATATAAAATGGGAGACCAAGTGGGGACACGGTTTGGCAATTTCTTACAAAACTAAACATAATTTTACTATACAATCCAGCAGACATGCTCCTTCGTATTTACGCAATTGATTTGAAAACTTAGGCCCATACAAAAACCTGTACACAAATATTTATAGCAACTTTATTCATAATCACCAAAAACTGGAAGCAACCAAGATGTCCTTGACACACCCATATGATGGAATATTATTCAGCAATAAAAAATGATCTATTAAGTCACAAAAAGACATGGAGGAACCTTAAATGAATATTGGTAAGTGAAAGAAGCCAGTCTGGAAAGTCTACATACTGTACAATTCCAAGTTTATGACACTTTGGAAAAGGCAAAACTATAGAGGCAGTAAAAAGATTACTGGTTGTCAATGGCTCTGGGGTAAGGGAGAGAGATGAATAGGTGAAGCATAGGGCATTTTAAGGGTGGTGAAACTATTCTGTATGAAACTTTAAGGGTGGACACATGTCATTATGCAGTTGTCAAAACCCATAGAACTGCAGAACACAAAGAATGAACCTTAATATAAACTATGAACTATAGTTGATAATAATGTATCAACATTGGTTCATTAATTGTAACAAATGCATCACACTAATGCAAGATGTTAATAATAGGGGAAACTGGGGAGGGATGAGGGTGTGGGCTGGAGTGGGTATATGGAATTCTGTATAATATCTGCTCAATTATTCTGTAAACCTAAAACTATACTAATAAATTCTATTATTCTAAAAACAAACTGAAAGCAAAGACACCAAAAGAAATAACTTTTTTGGTTCTAATTATAAAGGTAATATATATGCCTTTATATAAGAGTGATATCAAACAAAATAATACATGGAAAGTACAACGTTTTTATTATATTATACTTTGCTACTTTTCTTTACCTTAATATAGTCTTAGGTACACGGAAACAGATTGTTTGTAAACAACAAAACATATTTCAATAAAACTCATCCACTCATACTTACACTTTCCTTTGCACACTGGAGATATTAAATGCCTTCTTAGAAATGCCATGTCAACTACCTTTTTAGGGTTTCTAAAAGGTATGTTTTCCAATGTTTTGGTCTTACTGATCTTACTTACTGGAACTATCTATGACACTCTGGGATGTGAACAAATCATCTTATGTTCGCCACCTCCACAAGCAAGTAACAATGCTTTCACCTCTAGTCTTCACGTTGCAGTTTTTGTTTGAAGTTTTATGGGCAAGATGTAGCTCCGTAGATTTGGATAGAAACGCAGGTCTGACATGTAACATCAACATCAGGACTGAAAGTCCCAGGACCACAAACCACTGCAGAGGAAAACACAATGGAGTAGATCATGATAATTTCAGTTAGAGGCATCTTATACCAATAATACAAATTGCCATTAATGTCACACCATTGACATTCTATATCTATGTTATACTATGAGTAATGTTCAGCCAGTTAAGGTGTGGAAGATTATTATGAGGTTTTTTCCTTGGCTGCACTGAGCGTGTTGCAGGATCTTAGTTCCCTAACCAGGGATTGAACCCGGGATTTCACGGAAGTGAAATCGCAGAGTCCTAACCACAGGACCGCCAGGGAACTCCCCATTTATAAGTTTTAAACATTGTTATCTGATCATCTTAAAGACAGAAAAGAGTTAGAATCTTATCTTTTTCCTTTAGCATCAGCATTTTACAGTGTCTTCTGCATTGCTTCATTTATGAGTTCCTATTTCTTGTTTTCTAGTTCCTATTTACAATTTCTAGGCAGGACCATTTTGTTTTCTTTCATAGTATAGTAGCTTAAGTCAGAAGGGCTTCCTTGGTGGCGCAGTGGTTAAGAATCCACCTGCCAATACAGGGGACACGGGTTCGAGCCCTGGTCTGGGAAGATCCCACATGCTGCGGAGCAACTAAGTCCGTGCGCCACAACTACTGAGCCCGCGAGCCACAACTACTGAGCCCGTGCACCACAACTACTGAAGCCCACACCTAGAGCCCGTGCTCCACAACAAGAGAAGCCACTGCAATGAGAAGTCCGCGCACCTCAACAAAGAGTAGCCCCCACGCACCACAACTAGAGAAAGCCTGCACGCAGCAACGAAGACCCAACGCAGCCAAAAAAAAAAAAAAAAAAAAAAAACTACAGAAAAATTTTGTAATACAAAAGATTACATTAGCAGAATTCATATACATGAAGATAAGTATATTTAGAAATTTGGGCTTTGAATTTTTACTTCCCTTTAACTAAACATTTTTTTTGGTAAAGAGAACCACTATAAATATTCAACTGAATTATGCTAAGTGAATTCTGACTATATAACCTAAATAATTAGATATTTATATTTTATAATTACCACAACAGGTAGCGCAATTGCTGTGGAGACCTTCATTTTTTCCAAAGCCTGGACGACAGCTATCTATTCGTACTATCTGAAAACTGTGGTCCACAAAATGCATAGCTGGTAGAGTTTTATTAAAATCATGGTTGAAAATATATGCTTGGCTCTGGAAAAATTCTTCTATTCGATTTCTTGCCTAAGATTTAAAAACACCAGAGAGAAGTACAATTACTAAACTATGAACCAAATTTCTCCTCCTGTATCAGAGGCAATGAAACGTAATACAAACATGCCATTGCTTTACACAACAGATGAATTCCCGAAAAGTTGCATGTTAATACTAAAATTAGTTTAGCCTTGACCTTATAGATTATTGTCAATTTTTATGCACAACAGTTAAGAAAAACTAAATTGAGGTTAAAAAGCACTTGTTTTGAATTATTTGCATCATGTCTATTCCATATGTAGATAACCGGGAGTTCATTATTTCTAATTCCAAAAAGCCAAGCAAGGGGCTTCCCTGGTGGCGCAGTGCTTAAGAATCCGCCTGCCAATGCAGGGGACACGGGTTCGAGCCCTGGTCTGGGAAGATCCCACATGCTGCGGAGCAACTAAGCCCGTGTGCCACGTCTACTGAGCCTGTGCTCTAGAGCCCGCGTGCCCCAACTACTGAAGCCCACGCACCTAGAGCCTGTGCTCCGCAGCAAGAGAAGCCACCGCAATGATAAGCCCGCACACTGCAACAAAGAGTAGCCCCCGCTCATCGCAACTAAAGAAAGACCACGCGCAGCAATTAGGACCCAACACAACCATAAATAAATAAATAAATAAATAAAATTAAAAAAAAAAAAAAAGCCAAGCAAAATGGAAACCAAAACTTTTCTCTAATCAGCATTACAGACTAATGGTGTAAATTTTGTTTTATTTTTTGAGCATGGGGCTTAAATAATAACTAATAATAACCCATAAACCATGCACAATATTAAGGGTATGCGCTCAGGGATAGAGGGGGAGAGTGAAAGGATTTTTTAGACTATGTCCTTAGCCTCTAAGGAGGCAGAGGAGAGAGCAACTGTTTTGATCAGTACAGATACAATTTTGGAAGAACCACTGTTTTAACCTAGGTTGACATGATTGTAAGGTGGTTCTTCAAGCTGCTGCTTAGTTACATTTGGAGAACAAAGACCAGTGATCCATCCTTCTGTCATAGGAAAAATACATAATATTAACCTGGGGAGCTATATAACATTCCAGATGTACTCTTCCACAACAAAACATTTTTAAATAGCCAAGATTGCAACAATCTCAGTTTATAAAACTGAAACCAAAAATCAATAATACTTCATATTTCAGTTTTTAAATAGCTTTGTATACTATTCAAATACTTTCCCCTTACACTGAAATTCTCACCTGGAGGATATTATGGTTAGTGTTATCTTGACAGTCAACAGACTCATTGCATTTACCTTTCCACCCTGGTGCAAAAGGATTAACTGGAGGGGGAAAAATAACATTTTCACAGAAAGATTCCAAAAAGTTCCAAACATTCCAATAAAGCTCCAAATGCTGAATTCAGTATGCATGTGTGCATGTGTTTAATCTATGTAATTCTAGTGATAAAGTAAAGGTGCACAATTTGAATGATTTATACATTATGATTTCACTCCATCTGGGGGCTAATGGAGGTAACTACAAGGCTTTAAAATGAATAGTAATAATTCTGGGTTGGTTTGGTTTGGTTTCTCCCTTTTGTTAAGTTCTCAAAAATACAATTTAAAATTCTATAAGAAGTTATAAGTTAAATATTAGCTGCATAATTAAAGCCCATATTTATAAAATGATATTAAGTTCTAAAAGACAGGCAACAATATATCATAGTTGAAGGCAAATAATGTGTTAATTTTTAAAACCACAACCAGGTTAAGACCAACAACATACTTTAGTGCTTAACAAACATTTAAGACCTACTATTTATAAGCTTTCTATAATCATATGGCAATTAATTTTGTAATTAAGATTAAACACATAAAATTAAAGAAATATTAAAACTTTTTTTACCTTGAAAGGCTATAAATAGCTCAGGAATGAGGCCATGTTTTGGGACTTTAACAAAATGGCATTTATATGATGGTTCTATGATATGGCATGACAAATCAGAGATTAAATTATCCAAGATTTTCTTCAGCAGTCTAAAAAGCAGATCATTATACTTTCCTACACAAGATTTTGTGGTAAAACGTACAGCCATCTGATATGAATAGTCAGGTTCCCGGTAGGCTTTAAAAAAGATGAGAATAAAACAATTGTGCCTAGCATTAATTTCCAAATAACATGTAATAGTTAATCCCATCAATCTTGCAAACCAGCACAGAAACTTAATTTATCTAATAAAATGGGTTTTTGGGGGGTATTTTATTTTTTCTAATAAAATGTTTTAACAGTTTGTCCTCACAAAAGGATATAAAACGAATAACTTTAATGAAAAAGGTTATTTTCATCTGATATATTACCCACTCAGTACAAGAGATTGTATGGTTTCTGTGGGCTGGCTATATATGTAAGTTAAAAGGATCAAGAAAAAAATAAGACTTTGATGGTGAGGGTCTTAATTTACAGAAGTGTTGCTGTCAGCACAGTCCAATGAAAAGGATCATTAATTTGCTTTTATGGAATTAAACATAAGTTTTTAAATTACCTGGCAAAGTTGTGATAATGTAGATTGTGCCTGCATACCTACAGTGGGAAGTGGGAGGCTGAAAAAGGATTATTTAGGACACACTATTTTGATGTCAGTTTAAGAGTTTGCCTAGTCACATACACCCAAAATACTCTATAAGTCATAATGATTATATATAAGACTCATTTTCACTAAATGAAGAAACCATATACTTAATTCTGATCCATATTAAATGTTTAAGTTAAAATGTGCCTATATTCTTACCAAAGATCATAAAGTCATATCTCTGCTTTACTACCTTTTCTTCTTGGGTTTCTGCTTTGACAGTCTTATAAGAAAGAGTGCATGTGTAAAGTCCAGACAAAGGCTCCAGAAAGTCTTTCACCATCAGCTTTCCTGTTTTGGTTATATTTATTTTATTATTTCCTAAACAGAAAGAGTAAATTGCTTGGTATTTAACATGTAACAATTCAAACATTATTTAGTAAACTTGGCGTTACAAATAAATACAAAAATTTAAAAATTAATGGACTATTTTAACTTCAAGAATTCAGCAAAATCGTAACTCTGTCATATTACTCAATGGAAAACCACATGAGATAAGTACACTTTTGAAATATATTTTGGTTTTCTTTAATTCATTTCTTGGCATCTAATTTCAATTGATTTATGCCAGTAATTCTGTAAGTGAGATCACACTGCCTTATAGTTCTATGCAATTTCTTCACATAAGACAGAAATTAACAATGCTCATATTATAAGATACCCTCCTAACATCGTGAAAAATTACATTATTAGTTACCTCATCTCCTATCACAGGTGCTGCAAGGATAAATTTTAGGTTTTATAAGAACTTCTGAACTAATACAGCTTTGGGAAGTAAGGTACAAAAATTACTGCTTCAGTTTTTGCCTAAGGAGAAAATAAGGCACAGACCAAGATATAATATGATTGTCTAAATATGGAGTAAGTGAATCTGTAGTTAAAATTAAATTTCAATTTGTTCATTCCAATAAATGACAGCGCTTTTCTTAAAAAATGTTTGCATCATTAAGAAAAGAAGATATTAAAATCGAATAACTTACCTGTTAATGGCTTTTCATTAGGCCCAACCCATAAGTAGGTGGGGTCCACTGTTTCTTTTTCAGTGCGTTTCAAATCCATACAGACAAGGATTGGGCTATTGTGATGTAATTTTACATATAATTTCACTGTGACAAAAATAAAACAATATATAACTACATTATATAGCAAAATTAAATTAAGAAACACACTTCCTACCATTTTTTCCCAAAGTTACTTTGATTAGTTCTTTTTGGATTTCACTATTTTAAAAATCAGCATATCATTATAACATTTGGAATGCTAAAGTCCGTTCTGCTTCTCATAGATCTTAAAACTCTAGACTGCTACAGAGTCAATATTTTGTTTTCTGTTTTATTATAGTGTTGTTTATAAAAATGTACATAATACATTTTATTTTTTTAAATATTTATTTATCAATTTATTTTGGCTGTGCCACGTCTTAGTTGCTAAAATGTGCATAATACATCTTGATGTACGGATTCAGAACTAACTAGAATAAAAAAAATTTGAAGGGTTAGTGGAATCAAATTAAAGATCAGAAAAGGACCTTTTGGTTGCAAAACTATTTTAAAGATGATCATTGTCATCCGCAAGGCAAACATGATATTTAACTATAAATTTCCTCTGTTAGGAACAATAATTAAATGGGACAGACAAGGAAGATTTTCTGCAATACCTATTCTGTTTCGGATTTGATGGAAGCAGCAACAATGTGCTTGGAACAAATACAGTCCCACAAGATATTAATTTTAAAGCCTACTGAATGCCAGGCTCTGAACATATAAAGAAGACAGCGTCCTACAATTTGGTGGTGGCAGGGAAGGGGAGGGCCGCCAAACACGGAGAGATTCCAAAGCAGACCAATGCTATGAACCGGCCCAAAGTTATCTAAAATGAGCCTTGTGACTAATTTTCCTTGGCGAATGTGAGAAAGTTTCATCACAGTGACAAATGACATTTGAGCTGAGCCGTAAAGGATATGTAGGAGTTCTAGTTAACAAGGGAAGGGATAAGGGCATTCCAAACAGAGGGACTTCCAGCCCCGGAAATCACTCCTCTGAGGGGGCCTCGCATGTTGCAAAGCAGCGGGGACACCTGGAAGTGAGGTGGCATCAGAGAAAGAGATCTGAATGGAATCTTAGCTCCTACCGAGCTATGCAGCTTTAGGTAAGGTGATTCAACTGAGGCGTAGTGGCGTCGCTGTAAGGATGAAACGATGCAACAACCTTTGGGAAGTGCAGAGCAAACAGTATACGTTCAATAAATGTTTGTTCCATTTCCCTCCTCGGGAAGAACCTTAGCAGAGCCACGGAACCCCGGCTCTTCGGGCAGACTCTGCGAGTGAAGAGGTCCTTATTACCTGGGTGTCCCGGCTTGCCATAAATGAAGCCTTTCTCAGTGCGCTCGGAATTACGCTGCCATCCAACTGCGGAGGAAAGAAACCACTGACTTTTTACGTAGAAGAGAAGCCAGGGCTCAGAGTGGGGCGGGGCGGGGCGGAGGAGGCAGGACGGAGAAGATGGGAGAGGCCAGGGGACCTGGCGGGAGGATCCCCACCTCCTGTGAGGTACCAGAGCACCGCGGAGAGCAGGACCCACGCTCGCATCACGGCTCAGGGGCTAGCGTCGTGGGAGGGTTAGGCGTCGAGGAGCGGGCTCCTTCCTACCTCAGCCCCAGCGCAACGCCTCCCCATCTCTCCTCCACCGAGAGGAGCAAACCGACGGGGGTCGACTCCCCTAACTGTCCGACGCTACAGCGGGAGCGGACGCGCAGAAGAACGCTCGCGTGAACCGGGGCCTCGCGCGCGTGGGCCGAGCTGGGCGCCTGGGCGGGGCTGGGGGCGGGGCGCGGGCAGAGGGCAGGGCCTTGGGCAGGTGCGCGGGAAGCGAGCGCCCCGCCCCCTCGCGCGCACGCGGCTGCCGTCGTGTGGATGGTTCTGATGCTTCGCGCCTGTAGTCTGGCGCCGTTCCCCCGCGCTGTCGGTGGCTCGGTTTTCTCTGAGCAATCCCTGAGAGAAGAAAAGAGTAGAAGAAGAAAGAACGTAAGGCTTCGCGTTTCGGTCACTTCCTTAGTCTAGGGGCTGAAGAGATCGACGAGAGGAACATGGTGGTCCCAGTGGGATAGGGCGGGTAGGAATGCGATTACATGAGGACCTGAGGAGGGAGAAGCTTGTGAAAATTTACACTTCACAGGAAGCAGAGAGCCCCACGTGGTAATTTCCTATGCCTTTCTTCTCATGAACTGTCTGAAACTGTGTGCACAGTCTTTTTCAAACTCTTAACACCCAATTTTTACCCAACTGTGTTCTACCCACAAAATGAAGAACCGCTAGTGCACCAATAAGGCGTCTCCAGGCCTTCACACTCTAGAGGAACGTTTAATCTTCATCTTCAACTTCGAGTATCACACGGTGTTGAGAGACCCCACTTGCAAATGTGTCCAGGGTTGTGAAGTAAGACTGTTTTAAAGAAAGGGCCCAATTGAAAGGCGAGATCCCCAAATGCTTTTCCTGAGGGGAGGGATGCTAAGTCAAGATGAGCGAGCTCCGAAGGGGACCATGCCAGCGTCTTTGATGGTTCCTTCTTGGCTACTAATTTGATGGCCTGGAATGCCCTGTGTGTTGTCTGTTTCTTAGCAGCGGGACACCCTCAGTTGTGGTTTTGAGTAGGCTGGTGGGTAGAGAGCCCAAGGTTCAGACAGGGTGCAGAATGATTATTTGGGGTGAGATCAAGAGTTTTCAGTTTTATTTCCTTTGAGCCGAGTCAGTACTTGGGCTATCTCAGATGGTCTGGGAGCAACCTTTGTCAGTGATTTCAGTTTTAGTCACTGTTAATTTTACCTACATAGCATAAGCCATGAAATGTGATTCGGTGAGTCAGATCCACCCATGTCAGTTACCATGTCTAGATTCATGGTTTAGTCTCAACTGTACCCTTCTTAAAGTGATGATAATGAAGACAAATTTAGGCATCATCTCTGATTCCCTGGAAGTTTATCATTTCAGTTTTAGTCAAAGTACATTATAAATCCACAGTGTTTTATTACCTTCCCAGTTATAAGTAATTGATCCTTGTAAGCGCTGTGTGATCAACTTTGAATACTATGAGAAGACACCTAACCAAGTGAGTAGTAATTTGTTCAAAGTATCCATCCACTCTTTTAGAATAGTTTTAGATTTAAGGAAAACTGTGAAGATAGTACAAAGAGTTCTCATGTACACCCACCTATTTCCTTGCTATTAACATCTTACATTAGTTATTGTACATTTCTCACAGTTAATGAACCAATACTGATACCTTACTAAATAAAGTCCATACTTGATTCAGATTTCCTTAGTTTTTACCTAATGGCCTTTTTCTGCTCCAGGATCCCAGTCAGGATCCCACATTACATTTAGTCATCAAGTCTCCTTAGGTTCCTCTTGGCTGTGACAGTCCCTCAGACATTTCTTAGTTTTGATGACCTTGACAGTTAATTACAGTTTTTATGACATTGACCTGACCTTAACTGGTCAGACACTTTGCAGAATGCCTGTCTATTGGACTTTTTCTGCTTTTCTTTTTTCATTATTAGACTGGGGCTACAGGTTTATGGGTGGAAAACTACAGAGGTGAAGTGCCATACTCACCACACTGTATCAAGGTACAAAACTATCGGCATGCCTTATATCATTGTGGATGTTACCTTGATCACCTGGCTGAGGTAGTGTTTGTCTGGTTTCTGTAATATAGAGTTACTCTCCGCCCTCTCCCTTTTCATACTGTGCTCTTTGGAAGGATGTCACTATGTGAATCCCACTTTTTTTAATCTTTTTTTTTTTGGCCACGCCACGTGACTTGCAGGGTCTCATTTCCCCGACCAGGGATTGAATCCGGGCCACAGCAGTGAAAGCCCAGAATCCTAACCACTAGGCCACCAGGGAACTCCCAGACGTGAATCCCACACTTGAGGAGTGGGGATTTATGCTCCACCTCCTTGAGGGCAAAATAGCTGCATAAATTATTTTACCTGTTTACTTTTTATCTATCCCGTTAAGTGTCATTCTCTTGAGTCTGAAATACTCAATACTGAACTAATTATTTACCAAGTAGTAACACATTCCATTGCTAAGCATAAAGAACATTGTAATGGAAACTAAACGTTTTCTAAAACTCTTTAATAACCAAATAACTATTCATCCTTACACCATCCCTGTGAAAATTTACAGTTCCTCTTCTGCTACTTTTGATGTGCTATTTTTGCTTTTAGAAACTAACAAACAACAAATTTCCCCTTTCAATACTAAAATTAGACCTAGTGTTTAGAGTATTTCTCTGAAATTGATATTATCCTGTAGAACTCCAACCCATACGAGCTATAGAGATGCTATCGTGGTGCCATGATCTTAAAACAAAGCCAATACAAGTTATTAACTCATTTAAAAATTATATACCTATATCTATATCTATACATATCTCCTATACCAAGGCATATTTAAAATAAACTAAAATTCATAAAATTACAACATGCGTTCTTTAACTGGTAAGTGTGGCTTTATTCTGATATGGCCTGCTGACGCACAAACTCCCAACCTTAAGTCTCAAATATATTTATATATATCAACAACGTAAGTTTCTAACAAGGGTGAAAGTGGTCTTTCTGAGGATCATTTACATGTTGTCCAGTTCAGCACACTGGGTAACTTTGAGGACTCACCTGAACAATGTCCCTTCGACCTCAGTGTGAAGAAAAATTCTGTTTTTGAAAAATTATGTGGTCACTTCCCCTTTCCTCTCCCTATAGTCAAGTGCGTGCTTGACCTCTATAAAGTGGGAAGGATGTTGGGAAAAGATGTTGACTCTGTGTACTAACATCTTTGAGTTAATTTTACTCTTATTGTGTCTCCCCAACCCCAACCCCTTAGCACTGATACATTATATACGTAGTTTTGTAAGCTGTTTCAGATCCTATTTGGAGGAAGGCAAGGTAGCAGAAAATAAACACACATAAATAGAGTGTGTAGTATTTTGTGAGTGGTGGCAAATAAACCAAGCAGTTCCCAGAAGGGAAAACAAAGTGAGAGAATTGCTTCCAAAAATGAAAACGTTGAGCTGATGAAAGTGCCAAAATACTCTGGAACTGTCTCAGAAGTTTCTGAAAACTTGGACCAAGAACTTTTATTATGTGAAATGAAAAACTGAAGAAGTAAAACATAATACATCGAATGAAGTGAATTCTCATCGATGGCACTCATGGCTATCATCCCTGAATCTAGACCCAAAGTTCCAGATTTTGCTCAATTTAAGACAAACCTCTTTTATACTTGAAAGGAATCAATCCAGATCCTCCCTTCCGCCATGTGATATTACTCTCCCATCCATTATCCTTCCAAAATAGACATTCTGAGACAATTTACAGTCGCACCGTTTCCATCCTATCGGGGTTCTTGGCTTTGACATTCAAAAGGAGGCTGGAGGCGCGGTAGGTACCTCCGGCGCTCCGCGGTGAGCGTCCTTTAAAGCCGCCGCCAGCCAGCGCCGCTGTAACCCCGCGCACCGGCCGGTCGCCGGCTCCTGTCCCTTTCAATCTGCGCCGAAGCGGCGGCCGGATCCCGGGGACTCCCCGCGCTGGGAATCTCCCGCCAGCTGCGCGCTGCGCCCCGGCGACTGCAGGAGCACGTGGAGAGGCCGGGTAGCCAGACCGGCAGCTCCAGCCCAGCCCCGCGGCGAGATGGAAGGTGAGCCTCCAGCCCGCTTCTTTTCTAAAGGGTCTTTAAAATGCTCTACCGGTGCACGCAGCAGAGAGAGTTCCTTCTGAATCTCGGTTTTGCTTCTATTTATTTCTTTTGTCAAAAGTAAATATGAGGCATTTCGGAGGGCAAAGCGTGTCGGTTCTCATACATCTCTCATTTGCTCCCCTTCCCCCACCCCCCAGCTTTGGACAGTGATAAAATTCTCCACAATTTTATTTCTTAGGGGTTGTCAGGGGTCGACTCTAAGTCTGCAGAGGAAGAGTACTTATGGGGTGTCCCTGAAATGGCAGCAAACCTGAGTTGGAATAACTAATCCTTTTGCATGATTTTTTCGTCCATGGTTTCACTGTCTATTGGAACTAGGCTAACCTGAGTAACTTCTTTAGAATGAAAGGTGACTTTTTTCTTCTAAGGGTAAAGGCTGTCATATGGGAAGGTAAATTTTACAGTGTTGGCGCTTGTGGTTCCCTTGGAACTCGATCTTCTAATGATAACTTCTTTACTCAAAGCAAAAATCAGGCTCACATTGTTTCATTTGAATTAATTTTGAAAGTCATAAAACTATCCTCGCTTCTTAAAAATTATTCACTATGTACTTCCTTGGGATAATTAAAATTTCACACTACTATTGTAAACTTTCCAGTGGTCTGTCTTTTCAACAAGTGTTTCTAAAACCTTGAAAATGGCAGACGCATCTCAAGTTGGGGGGAGGTGGTGACAGAAAATCAGAATTTGTGAGAAATGTATTCATTCTATTATTAAATGAGATACTGACACGTGATTAAAATGTTAACTTGATAAATATTACGAATAGCATGGACATTTTCTTCATAATAATCGAAGGCTCTCTTATTGCCAATGAACCTTCATCTTTGGCAGCTTTAGGTCTAGGGTATATGAAGTTATTAAAACTTGACTGAATGCTTTAGGACATGAGATAAATATTGTTTCGCAGTATAATTGAGTGCAATACTGTGGTCTTAAATCCTCAATTTGCACGTGGGTATGTTTATAATTTTTTAAAACTGACTTGGCCCTTATGTACATTTTTTTTCCCTCTAAGTAGAATGCCAAATGATAAGTCAATGAACAGTATGTATGTAGAAAATTTTAAATGACCATTATTGAATAATACTTCATGTTTTCTCTTATGCAAAACTCTCTCTGTTTTAAGTTTTTAAAAATTATCAAGGTTTAAAAATAACTCTGAAAAATTTGCACTTTGACTATTTGAAAAATGGTTTATGATGTGTAATTTTTAACCTGTAAAGATTTCATTGGCCAAGAACAGGAAAAAAATTAGGTTGCTGTACAGTATGAAAAAATAATTTAAAAAATTCTCATGCTTTAATTATTACAAATGAATTGCTGAATTTGTTTTTGTGAAGTTATAGATCAATACTTTAACACTATTTTTTCCTAGTCTTAATCATTTCACTTCTCAAGAATAACATACAGAATACTGTAAGACAGTGGAAACTGGAATGTTTCTCTGTAAATGTTAAGACTTCCGAATTCATTTATTTAATGTGAAATAAAGAAATTATTAACTAAATAGCATAATTTAAGATATTAAAGCCCTAACAAAGGCTTTTAGATAAGTCTGAATAAGAAGGGAGTGAAAACTTGTATAGAATTTGATTTGAAATGAACAGACTATAAATGGAAACATGTAGAATATAGAATTGGATCAGTGATAAGTTGTGAGTTTAGATGAGGAGATTATATTAATAGGTCCATACAGATAGATGTTATATGGTATGCTTAATGCAAAAACTTCAACACAAATCAAAAAATAAAATTAACAAAAAGGTTAGTGATGTGAATTTGGCTATTCTAATCAGGTCCTTGAGGACCAGAGTATTTGATGTAGCAAAATATCTGGTCCATTATAGCCACCCAAGATGGGCTAATCTGGCTCATGTATTTGATACTTAAATAAAGTACTTTCATATTATCTTGATATTTTGGTCTTAATCTAGAATTTGACCTATAGTGTATACCTCTCATTTCTTGGCAATATAAGCAAGTAGAGCACTTTATGGAATACTTTTATTTTCTGCCTAATTTGGGGGCCAAATTAATATGCTATAGTTTATTGTGAAATGTGAGGCTATATAGTCAGTCATTCCTTCAGCATATAAAATCCTTTTTAAAAATTCATTCATTTTTTCATTCATTACCAGACATTTATTGAGAGTTTTATGTGTGACGATGTCAGATGAAATAAGCTTTTGAAATAGAAAGCTTGTCATGTAAAAATGAAAAGACAATGCATATAATAAATCAAAACTATAATTTTTTTCTTTTCTCACAATTTGTGATCCTAAATATTTTCTATCCAGAGATTCTTTATGTTACTAAATTTTGTTATTTGTGCTGTAATAATACCCCTTCTGTCTGATATGGTTGAGAAATGGGTGGTTCACAAATAATGAATTTTACAGGTATTGGCATATTTCTCATTTAATATGTGACCTTTTATTTCAACAATATTGGATAGAAGTCTTTCTAAGAGTATTTATTACACAGCCCCCTGCTTTGTAAACAAGGTCCACAAGAGAAAACTTTATCTTGGTGACCCAGGCTCACTATTTTGACCATCAGGTAATGTATTGTTCTATAGTATTTTCTCACGGGGTTTTGAACTGTGTAGAGCTGAATGCCCCTACACTAAATATTCCCAGGTTACTGTGTAATTTTTGTTTCCTTCTTGATGTCAGCTTCTCACCACATGACTTTCGTGGTAGCCATTTTTCATTTCTGGGTTTCTTTCTATGCTCTGGATGGTTGGGATTTACAGAGATATAGCCTCCAGATGGTAGAGTTTACTAGCCCTGTATTATGAACATGTGAACGTTGAAATGGTAAAATTCAAAGGAACAAAAGCCCCAGAAAGGCCATGGGGTCCACGTAGAACATAATTTTATAAAATTCCCATTTGTGCTTCCTATAATCCAATATGCTATTTCACACTTCCATGTCTTTGCTAAAAATTTCACCCCATTCTTTACCTAGTTATGCCTACTCATCTCTCGAGACTCTTCTGAAGCATTATCACTGTGAAGGACCTCCTTCTCATGACTTTCCCTGGTGGTCATTTTTTTGAAAAGTGGTCACCACTTCTTCTGGTGGTCATTCTACTCAGTCCTGTCACCTCCCTCCAGCTAGGCTAAGGACCTTTCCTTACTGTGCATACTTCTGCCAATTGTATTGAAATTATTTATTAATTTAAGTGTTTATTCCCCCACTGGTCTTTAAGCTTCTGAGGGCAGAAACTGTGTCTTATTTTTGTATGCTCAGTGCTAAGAACAGTTTCTGGTTCATAAAAGACCTTCAGAGTTTGTTGCATTCAGGTTTTAAAATGGTGCTGAAAAGTAATTTTCATGTTTATTGTGATGCCTTTTATTTAATTAATTTTTGTGAGTAAGGGATTGGTGCTAGCAATTCTTTGTTAGAACTCAGAAAAATTTTAAAGTACTTAAGTGGTATAACAAAAAGAGAAAACTTAGAAAAAAAATGTTATTGGTTTTTAGGCTAGAATATCACTTAATGCTAAATCTTATCTTTACATCAGCCGGTTTCAGGATCACATATTAGTCCATTAAAATATGGATCAGATATGAGGGGAAACTTTCTTTCTCAATCAATAAGATATATAGATGGTGCTATAAAATTAGCATACACTTTTCCAGTGATACCTTTTTTTTTTTTTTTTTTAAATAAATTATTTATTTATTTTTGGCTGTGTTGGGACCCTGCTGCTGTGCGGGGCTTTCTCTAGTCGCGGCAAGCGGGTGCTACCCTTCATTGCAGTGTGAGGGCTTCTCATTGTGGTGGCTTCTCTTGCTGCAGAGCATGGGCTCTAGGCACACGGACTTCAGCAGTTGTGGCACGTGGGCTCAGCAGTTGTGGCTTGTGGGCTCTAGAGCGCAGGCTCAGTAGCTGTGGCGCACGGGCTTAGTTGCTCCGCGGCATGTGGGCTCTTCCTGGACCAGGGCTCGAACCTGTGACTCCTGCATTGGCAGGCGGATTCCCAACCACTGCGCCACCAGGGAAGCCCCCTCCAGTGATACCTTTATTAATACATTGTTATAAGCTTGTCATCAGTGTATAAATGTATATATTTACACTTACTTAGGACTAAAAGATTATTGGTAGATCTTTTATCAGACACCCGATATTAATAGGCTGCTGACTCAAGCTGTAGTTCTAGACCATGTATGAGAAGAGCTGAGTGATTAACACAGAAACCGGCCTGTAGTAAGTGCCCAAGAAATGCTTCTTGGGTGTGCTAAATACTCATTAATTATTGTGAAAAGAGACTCTAAACATCACAAGGACATAGAGTATACTCTGCTATCAAGCCTTTTAAAAATACAGCTCTCTCATTAACTGGTACATTCATAGTAATTAGAAATCATAAGGATGACCCTAAGGCCTTTTGAATCACTTTTTAAAAAGGATGAAATGATGGAACAATAATCATATTTCTGTTATATGTGGATTATTTGAAAAGTGATCTATATATAACTATTAATTATTATTGCTATATAATCTATCAAAATATTTTAATCCCCAGTGATCCTGAATGAGATCATTTTTTCAGCCTTAATTGAAAACTGCTTTTTGCATCCAAAATTAAAGTTCTTAGAGTCCAGAGTGGTGTAGGGTAAATCGAAATAATTTGGAGTTGATACCATTATTATATTGGATATGTGTCCCATCTAGGAAATATAAAAAACTAAGTGTTTAATAAGGGATATGAAACAGAATAAAAGCATTTTTGGAGCAGTACTTTTTACTCATTGTCAAAAATTCAAAATCAGCTTACCTGGCAGCATATCACAAATTGTATTTATTAACAAGTGTTCTTAGAGATGACATTTTTGGCACATCAGGTTATTTGTAGGTTTATAAAAGAAACTTTTGTAAAATAAGAGAAATGGAAAACACTTCAATAGCATCACTGATGAAATAGCACG